TGCAGCTTACTTGGCATCTGAAAACACATTTCCTCGAATGTATTTTTAATCTGAAAAGAGCTTCCCTGAGTGAGAACTAATGTTGAGAGCTCAGCAGACAGTTTACGTTTCACTTTTACTTTCACCTGAGAGCCTGCAGGAGTCATGGGCGGGGTATGTGGGGAGTGGGGAGGGTGTGGGGTGCTCCGCCATTAGGAAGTTTGGCTTAAAGACACGTCCCAGGGGTGTTTCTGGTCCCAAAAGGCGTTTCTGGTCCCCACCTGTTGTTTTGCTCCTCAGCATGGCTTCCTAAAAACGCTGCAGGATTTCTTAACCATGCATGAATGAGTCAAAGCAAGGCTTTGGGCATGTTTTTTTATGAGAGTATCACATTATAACATGATATAAAACTCAAAAAAGTTGATTTTACATGATATTGCCCCTTTAAATAATTGTGGCCAATGACGAATGTGTTGGCAGGTGTTTAAAGAAAAGGAATACATTCTATAAAACCTTTGGGGTGCAGGTTGATGTCTTGATATGGGCCAGCTTTAGAGTTATACATGAGCTCCCACAAGATGATGGCGAAGCTGTAGACGTCCCCTTTGGGTGTTCCGTTACACGGAGGATCGACCTGTCTAAGAAGCTCCGGGGCCGTCCAGTACAGATCTATGACAAAATTAAACTATCGTGTGTACATTCCCTTCATAATTTGTGTGGCAAGATGATGCCTGAGTAGTACCGAGCAACTGGATTTAAAACCCACTTACCTTCATAGATAGGGTTTTCCACCAAGTCCAGTTTGGGTTTTTCTCCATATTTGAATTCCCACAATCCAAAACCAGAGAGCTTGATCTGAAGCCGGCTGTCCACCAGACATGTGCTAGGCTTCAGGTTTCCGTGAAACTTAAGGCTGCTGTTGTGAATAAAATCCAGTCCCTGAAAAATAAACAAGCAAATCCTAAACAACATGATAAAAGTATTTCTTTAAACACTTTCTTGATAAACACTTACATTGACAATGTCATATGCAAACGACAGCTTGAACATCCACTCTAGATCAACGTCTGACCCCTTCAGAACATCCTGTAAAAAAAAAAAAAATCAAAAACAATATGTGAAAACTTAGTGTTTGAAAGTTTTTGTTGGGGAAAAACTGAAGTTTTCCACTCACCTTCAGGCTGCCTTTCTTGCAGTACTGGATGACCAGACAGACATTCGGCGGCTCGATGCAAACGCCAAAGAACTGCACCAAGTTCTCATGTTTCATCTCTTTCATCTTTCTTAAAGAGTTTCAGATAATTAGGCACAGAGGAGCTGCATCTTTGTGTGAAAGAGGCAAACAATTCTCTGCTGTATCCTACACACATTTACATGGGTATTTTCAAAAGGCAAAAAAAAATATCTTTACTGGTTATAGGTTGCACCAAAGCGAAAACTAGTCAGCTGTCAACTTTACCACATTGAATTCTGCGATGATAGAAGGTTTCTGGTAATTACAGCTGGCAGGTTTCTTGATGTACTTGATGGCCACTTGATTTCCCTGGATTGGAAAAACAAACAAAAAAATATCCCCAGTATTTTCATACTTGTTATGTAGGCTCACTGTGAGCTGAGAATTAAACTTACCTGATAGAGACCTATAGTGGTAAAGATGTTTTCTTTGCCTGTCTTGTCCCTCAGGTCATAGCTAGTGCTGGAAAGATAGCTCTGACAGCTGCTGCTCCCACTGTGACTTCCTGCAGAGCCCACCGATGAACCTTGGATTCCCTGGAGAAGAAGAAACACAAACCTGTGTAACAAATCGACTACACTGACCATTCGCCAACCCTTCTTGAGCGCTCGTACCAAGGGCTCCCGGATGATGGTAATGTCGCTAAAGTTGATCATCCACCAGCTGGAGTCGTCTAGCCTCGTTTGGAGCCGAAACTTCTGCAGCATTAGGACGCCAATCCACAAAATGGCCACTATACCAACGACGGGGAAGGTAACTATCACGGCCAGCAGGGCGATATCTGCATCACAAAGACATGGTAAACTCTAAGAGTGGCTAAGGTTTTAATGCCGGTCAGTATAAATGCCTATGTTTTACCATTAGTCAGCCATTCGCAGAGTTCATCATTAAAACCACATTCTGGTATATCAGTGGGGGGCTTTCCTTTTGGCCAAACCACAGAAGTTAACATAGACGTTGGTCTGAAATTCAAAACTTTCATTAAGACATTTGTCACAATGCAATTAAAATCCTGTCATCCAATCTGGTGTTAAAACCAAAAAAGGATCCACGTGTTAATATTTAACTGAACATTGTTTGGTACCTGACACTTTTGGTTTGACTTTCGAAGTGTAGGATCGGCACAAACAGGATGTTGTTGCCCACATACTGCAGATCATAAATCGAGTAGTCCACATTCCTCTCGCCCTCTTCGTCAAAGTGAACGAGTCCAGAGGCACCTGCAAAAGGAGCCCATTCTCATGCCCCCTGCGTCAACATATTGACGCTTGACCAAGCGCGCGTCCGTTCTGTACGAGATGAGGTGGAGGAGGACGAGTCCCTGAACACAGACCCTAGAGTTAACCAATAACCCTGATCCCTCATGTTAACCATTGTCCCAGACCCTAAATTTAACCTATATTAGCTATGTACAGCCTTTCCATGACCCCAGTCTCTCAAATTAACCATTATTTGTGACCACAGATCCTAAAGTCAAGCATTAATCCTGATCCCTCATGTTAACCACAGACCCTAAAGTTAACCATTAATCCTGTGACACAACCCGGAAAAGCCGCAGGCGGCAAGGATGGCGCGTCAATATGTTACGAGTCCAACATGAGAATGTATTAGTAAAAGACGAGCCATAAACTCCACCAGACACCTTTAGCAAAAGAGAAATCCTTGTTTTGAAAATGGTACCACGGTTCCTGTATAGTTACCATGAAATCGAATATTGCCTGTAGTTCTCAGTTTTTGCAGAAGCTGCCGGCCATCGTACGGGTCGTTTCCATCTTTCAGAACTTCCTTCAGTCCCATGGCATATAGAAGAACCGCGTCATGCAGATAGGCTGCGTAGGGACTAACCTGACAGTTATTGTTTAGGACATTTTATTAAACGTGATTCAACTAAAAAAATCTGGTCAACTTTCTTTAAATAACTTTCCTAACTTGCCTCACTCTCAGATGTTAGGTTGCTCCAGAAAGGATGTCCTTTCAGCTTTTGATAGACTTGCTTGTAGAAGTCATAGTACTCGTAACCTTCGTAGGACCTCTGGCCGATGATAAACGTCATGTCGAATGCTCTTGTAGCAGCTTGGTTTATCCTGCTGTTTATAACATTTTTCCACAAGTTATCCTGCACAGAAAGAGAGATCCGTAAAACAATAAATGAGACAAACATTTGTTTTTTGCATATTTTTACTGAAACTAAACGGTTAATTTTAGGAAAAGATGTCCTGATGCATCTCAGTAATCCAGGTAGAAAAAATCAAAAAGAAAAAATAAGTAGGAATGTGAATCTGGATGGGTTCTTCTTTAGTGAAACGTTTCGTCTCTCGTCCGAGACTTCTTCAGTCTGATGAATTTCAGGTGAACTCAATCTTAYAAGCACTGCCTCCACATGGACAAACAGGTTAGTCATATGCAAAAGAGGGCCATCGCCTAACAATAGGCTTGATTAGCTCTATTGTTCATAGAGGGTCATGTGCCCCATCACCTGACCCGTGTCGTGTTATGTGCATGTAGTGAGGGCAGGCGGGGCTCGACGTCCACTTGTTTTTGTCCCTCTTTCCCTCTTTGTGTTGGGTATCATCACTTTTGCATGTGACTAACCTGTTTGTCCATGTGGAGGCAGTGCTTATAAGGCTGAGTTCACCTGAAACTCATCAGACTGAAGAAGTCTCTTGGACGAGAGATGAAACGTTTAAGTACCTACTTTTTACTTATTTTTTCTTTTTGATTGGGAAATAGATGTTTTGTGAAGGTGAAGTGTTGCGTTTTGTAGACACCCAGTACCTTTTTTGGTATAAAATAATGTTCTGTTAAAAAGTTTAATTTTTTTGTGCCTTAAGATATTTAACTGAGTGAAGGAACTTGTGGTTGGATTTTTCTTTACCGTGATCTTCATGGGTTTTTCCCTCCATCTGGAAATAAACAGGTCAGTGTACTCACCTGAAAATGCACACATGTATCTGTTGATTTATTTTGCTCCTCCTGGCTCCACTGACCTCAAAATGCTGTACCAGGAAGAACACGTAGTCGCCGTTCATCAGGCCTTGGCGCTCWGCCTCCAGCAGCAGGGACACGGAGTCCTCCCTGTTCGTCAGCACCACAATAACTGGAAGGGAGAGGGTCACAGAGTGTTTTTTTTTTAATGAGCTGATTCAAATTCAAAATAAAGAGGTAAAACCAGAAACTTGTCTGCTACCTCTGGCGACAGTTGAGATGTACTTGACGTTTTGAGAAATGAGATCAGGGTTGCTGGTGTCAAACTTCACCTCTGCGGTCAGTTTGAACTTGGTCCTCAGTGGGTTCTCCACCGTTTTCCACAGAGCGTCAACTTTGTCCCAAGTGTTTGTCTCCAACCCCCCTCCGATCATCGCCACGTGGCTCCACCCGAAGAACTGCAGGGTCTTCACCAGAACCTCCGAGCTTCTTTTAAGAGGGGGCATGATTTTGATGTAGGAATCGTACATGTCGCCGTTGTCCAGTTTGGAGGACTGGCCCACAAAGCCGAACATTGGGATGTGCCATGTTGAGGCGATCAGACCAGTGACCTGGAAAACATTACAGCCTGAACCACTGAAGTTTGGGAGGTCAGACTGAGACGGTTTGGACATGTCCAGAGGATGGACAGTGGGTATTTTGGTAGAAGAATGTTAGAGATGCAGGAAAACGACAAAAAGGAGATCTATGGAGGCAGTTAAAGAGGACACAGAGGTAATTGGAGGACAGAAGATGAAGGAGGACTTGATGGACTTGATAAGAAAGATAAGTCAAAAGAAAAAGAAGAATAAGGCCTGGAATTCATTGTGCTCCTTATGTTAACTTTATATAAATTAAATCAAATAAACAAAATCATATTATTGAAGTCACACAACATAAACTCATCCTTTCTGTTCAGGTGTTGCTCTAACTGAGAGGGTCATCAGAGTTCAGCAGCAGCATTTTCCTTAAATTTACCATTTAAAAAATACATTTACACAATTCTTTTTTTGTTGTCCTTCAGGTAAAATTAGACTTTTCAAAGTTGAAAGAAACCTATAGATGTTCATTTTATTGAATAATGTAAGAAGCAATGTCAGATATTGTAATCAATCTAAAAGAAAATGTTTTATCACTCGTTCAAATTAAACTAAATTTAATAGAATTAAAATAGATTAAAATTATTTTGGGTGCCACTTTACAATAATGGCTTATAAATAGTTCATAGATATGCTATTAGTTCATCTGTAAACACTTTAAAAATCGTTATTAAGTGTTTTTATGCATTAATTAAGGACGAGAAAGAGACAAAACTGTTTGGTTTCTTGCCAAATAGTGAGCCAAATCTGTTCATGTACATATTACACCTAAAGGTGCTTTATTAAAGTGTAAGACARTACACTATTTATTAATGACTAATAAACATGTTTAAATGCCATAAGAATGTGTAATTGTAAAGTGTAAAACAGGACACTATTTGTGAGGCTCCCTAAGTAGACTGTCTTTCACTTTACAATAAGGCTCCCTTTGAAAGTGGATATGTATAATACAGTAATATTACAATATTATATAAAATCTGTGTTTCCTAATCATTATTGTTTCATACAAGGTAGTAACCTAGTCTGAAATGTTTAATAAGCACCTTTAGATGTAATATGGACATGAACACATTTAGCTCACTATTTGGCAAGAAACGGGACAGTTTTGTCTCTTTCTCATCCTCAATTAATGCATAATAAACACTTATTATTGATTTATATAGTGTTTGCAGATGAATTAATAACCTATCTATAAACTATTTATGAGCCATCTATAAGGGGAGCCTTATTATAAAGTGGTACATTATTTTGTTTCTTCAATTTCATGACATTAAAGATGAATAAGATAAGATAAGATAAGATAAGATAAGATAAGATAAGATAAATCAACATATAGATTAGACAAAAATGTAAATATGCAGATTATTATGTTATATTTCCATTGATCTTGTTGATGAGGTCAACTGATGATTGGCATTTCAGAGCTTCATGTTTGAATAATCAATTTTATTACATCTCTAATCTGTCTTTACCTAAACATCCAGATTATTAAAGGAAAACTATTTTTAGAAACATGTAGTGATTACAGAAAAACATCAACAACAAAATAAGGGCGCACCTGCAGGCTGACCCAAATGTACTTTGTTATTTTTACCAACAGTAATGTAAGAAACACTCGTGGGAAAAACGTCCTAAAGATGAACTGCATGRAAACCAGCAAAAAAGACACTTTCTTGATTTTTTTAGTTATTTGACGGTAAGCTTTATAACAAAAACCCATAATATTTTGCAGTTTCAGTTGTCAGAACATAATACACAATGTAAAGTTGCATTTAGTTTTTACTTTTATTGTCTGTGTAGACGCAAACAGACAGCAAAGTATAAATAACAGACTTATACCTCTGCTTCCTCAGGACACGCTGGACCAAAGAGAGCTGTCACGTTTTCCCTCCACACCTGCTGGATGAATTCTCCCAAGGACTCTTTGGGATTACAGCCTGTGTCCTTGTAGACAAAATCCAGACTGTAGTTCCCCAGGAAGGAGGGGTTGTTGTTCACCTTCTCCACGGCTATCTGGATGGCCGAGCCCAGGCGCCGGGCGCTGAAGGGGAAGGACATGTTCCAGGGAGCCTGGAAGGCAACGAGCAGCCTGTGAGTCTGACTGCTGCTGSTGTTACTGAGGATGGCAGCAGCAGATAAAATGAGCGTGAGGTCGAGCAGCAAAACGTGGCTCATGGTAGAACAATGCAACATCCGTGACATCACTCTCATCCTTTTAGTTTCTGCATGTGCGGCGCTTAAATACTCAACCTCCTTAGTGATGCTGGAGCACTTGGTTCAGGGAGGAGAACATGCAAATAYGTGGAGAAGAGTGGGAGGTACAAAACTCTGTTACTTTTTATTTTTCATGAAAACGTTTGTTACATCTAAACTTTTCATAAGTTTTAGAAATGACTGTACATTTCCCCCTCCAATAAATTTACATTAGTTTAACTTTAATTTWATGTAGCATCTCAGAACCTTTCAGGAAAGTTTGATGCCGACTAGGAAATGTAAGTTTTTAACCAGTGACCTTCAGATTTCTGATTTTCTTCTTGAGAATAATCAATTTATATCTAAAGCTGCATTTTGGGCCTCTTTGCCTATACAGCCCAGAAAGGACACAGATGTGCAACTTTGTTGGTACTTTTCAACATTAATAATAATAATAATAATAATAATAATAATAATAATAATAATAATAATAATAATAATAATAATAATAATAATAATAATAATAATAATAAAACAGATTTGTCGTGTCAGTCCCAGAATCTTTGGGGTAATTCTAGTAAGACATTTTTGTGTTTTTCTCTCAACAGTGCTTCTGGCTCCAAGTGTCAAAAAAAAGTCACTAACACATTTTCAGTTCAGTTCAATTCAATTCAATTCAATTCTTTATTAATTTCATTTAAACAAAACAAATAATTTTATATACAATATACAATAAAAAGAAAAATATGAAAAGAAAAATGAGAGAAAAAAATATGTGTATATCAAAATCACAAATAAAATGAAATGAAAGGCAGCAGAGAGAAGAAAAATCTTATAACATCTGCCCCTTTTTTTCTAGAATAATTCATATAAAGAAAAATCTGTTATTAACAAAACAAAAGACAAGAACATCTAATCCCTCTGGATTATACTTTCATATTTCTTTAACAATCCAGCTTTTTATCATTTTCTTAAATGTACATAATGATCCTGCGTTTTTTACATCACTCCCCAGATTATTCCATAGTTTTATTCCTTGACTTAAAGTACACCATTCCTTCAAACTAGTTCTGAATTTGAGTTTTACAAATATCTCTGTCCCTTTAAGGTTATAACTCTTTCTCTTAACAAAATTCACTTGGATGTTTAAAGGTAATGTGTTTTTGTGGGCCTTATACATAACCAGTAGAATATAATCAACCAAATCAAAGAACTTCAATATTTTCAATTTACAAAATAATGAATTTGATGGGTGACGACAATGTTTCCATTATTTATCTCACTTTAAAACATTCCACTAATATTTTATTGATATTTTTCTCACATTTTATTATTTTTTACCAAATGTTAAATTAAAAAATTATGTCTAAATATTAAATCCTAAATGTAAAAATAAAATTTTAAATGTTGCAGCTTACATTTAAGAATTTCGAATGGAGCGCAGCCTTTGGCGTTGGTGCCCGGTTTTTGTTGTGACATCATCATCCTGTGACGAAAGCAACGGCTAACGCTGCTAACGCTGCTGAAAATGGCAACTGAAATTATAATCCGACATTTGCTCATTAAAAACTATGTCAGTGATTTGGCTGTTCGAAGTGCAGCTGGGACGTCAGCCGCAACCGCAAGTTTGTTGTTTGGAAGCCGCTATCTTCAGCAGAGTTAGCAACATTAGCGTCATTTAACTTTTACATTTAGATTCAGGATTGAACATTTAGACATAACAGTTAACATTTCAGTTTAACATTTTKTAAAAATGAGCAAAATGTAAGAACACTGAGTTAAATAATAGCATTGTGGAAATATTTCAGTGGGATTTTTCAGAAAATGTGTGATTTTTAAAAATATTTGATTTTACATTTGTCTCCCATATTTCCCTCCTTGGTTTCTTCCAGGGAGCTTATTATGATACTCCGACAGCGCGTCCCTGTTTCCAAGTGAGCTTTAGTCACTCTTTTTAATGCTTAAACC